ACAGCACTATACAGCTAACTGTGTTCATTGGGTATCTAGGCTAACTTTGTTGGACTTATGAACAAACTGGACTTACAAATATGATCTCAGAATGAAACTCATTTATATGTAGAGGACTTACTCTATTTAACAGTTGAAGCAGTGAGGGCTTTCACAGGATGCACATGGGCTTCCCTGATGGTTCAGCAGTAAAGAATATGCCTGCAATGTAGGAGACTCAGGAGACATGGGTTCGATCCCTGGGTCGGGAAGATCCCCTGGAGGAGGAAATGGCAACCCACTAGAGTATTCTTGCCTAGAAAATTCCAAGGACAGTGGGGCCTGTGGACTACAGTCCATAGGATCTCAAAGAGTCAGACACGACCGAGCAGCTGAGCACACATGCACTTGTAGTAGGGCAAACGTGTATTGAAGAAGCAGGTGGTTAAGGCACTTAAGAGGCTAGATAACAGCATTCCACTTCAAGTGGTAAAGTATTGAGCATCAGGAAACAAAGTTCAGCATGTGTATTGTCTTTCCTGGTACAATCAATAAGCAAACGAACTATACAAAGTGATGTGTGCAGAAACGCCATAGAGAAATTGAAATGAAATCCTCAGAAGGGCCCAAGAGCCCAAAGGAAGGCAAGAAAGGCAAAACAAAGACAACAAAACATAAAACGGTAGAACTGAGTCCACACATATCAATAATTACATAAAATGAAAGTGGCCTAAAAGCATCAACTAAAAGACAGAGAGTGAAGTTGGAGCACTCATCCCAGCAGATTTTAAGACCAACTGTGAAGCTGCTATGGATAAGACAGTGTGATACTGCTGACAGAAACACACAGATCAGTCGACCGGACAGAGCCAGGGTCTGCAAGTCACAGCCCAAAGAGAAAAGCTGCCCTGAGGACTGTTTTGTATGAACTGTGAGCTAAGAGTGGCTTTTACATTTTTTAATTAATTGCTTTGCACTGGAGTATAGTTTTTTTTTTACAATGGTGGGTTTTATCTACTGCACAGCGAAATGAATCAGTCCTACATACACAGGTATCTCCTCTGTTTCTGGACTTCCTTCCCATCCAGGTCACCCCAGAGCACTGGGTAGAATTCCCTGGGCTGTGCAGTAGGTCTCGTTAGTTATCTGTTTTACACACATTATTAATAGTGTATATATGTCAACCCCAATCTCCCAATTCCTCCCACCTATATTTTTCCCCTTGGTATCCACATATTTGTTCTCATATCTGTGTCTCTAATTCTGCTTTGCAAATAAGTCCATCTGTATCATTTTTCTAGATTCCACATATATGCATTAATATATGATTGTTTGTTTTTCTCTTTCTGTCTTACTACTCTCCGTATGACAGTCTCTAGGTCCTTCCACATCTCTACAAATGACCCAGTTTCATTCCTTTTTATGGTTGAATAATATTCCATTGTATATATGTACCATATTTTCTTTATTCATTCATCTGTCAGTGGACATTTCGTTGCTTCCATGTCCTGATTATTGTAAATAGCGCTGCTTTGAACATTGGGGTGCATGAATCTTTTTGAATTAGTTTTATCCAGATATAAGCCCAGGAGTCGAACTGCTGAATCATATGGTATAACTCTATTTTTAGTTTTTTAAGGAACTTCCATACTGTTTTCCATAGTGGCTGTATCAATTTACATTCCCACCAACAGTGTAAGAGGATACCCTTCACTTCAGTAATCAAGACAATATAGTACTGGCACAGTTTTTACATTTTTTAAGGGTTGGGTTTATTTAAGGATATGAGACAGAGACTATATGACCAACAAATCATAAAATATTTACTATGTGGCCCTTCACAGAAAATATTCAGCCAATCCCTGGAACAGAGGGTCCAAAAATAAACCCACACAAATAGGATCAATTGGTTTTTGACAAAGAAGCAAAGACAATTCAATGGAGAAATTGTAATCTTTTCAACCAGTGGATTGAAACTACTGAATATCCATAGACCAAAAAAACCCTTCATCTAAACCTCATAAAAAAATTACCTCAAAATAAAACATATAAATACAAAATTCAAAAATCATAAAGCTTTTAGGAAAAAGATCTTTGAGACCTGAGTTTAGGCAAAGAATTTTTATACACACGATCAAAAACATGACCCATAAAAGAAAAAACTGAGTAACTGGGCATTATCAACATGAAAAATGTGTTTCAGCAAGAGACTCCGTTAAGAGAATGAAAGACTAGCCACAGATTTGGGGAAAATGTTTGTTTTTTCTTTTTTCTGTCACATCCTGAAAGCACCAGAAACATCCGAGAGGCAAGGGCAAGTGTGCTAAGACTTGCATGGTGAAAACTTGGTCCAGCTTGGCAGGATGTACAAGGCCACACCAAGAACCCAGGCATCTGGCAATTAGAGGCGACCAGGAAGGATGATGTGAGAGATGGACGATGGTGGGGGACCCAAGGATTACTTAGGAGGTGAAATCCAGAGGACTTGGTGGAGGGTTCCGTGTGAGTAGGGACAGATGGAGGCTTTAGAAGCTGTCCCCAGTTACTGACTCATTTGCCCTGAGAGACAAAGGATTGTGCGAGGGCCAGTGTGATGAGTGGAGACAGTGTGGGCCAGGACAGGGTGGGAGCACTAGGAGTTCAGATTTGCACGTGTTGAGTAGGTGTGCTTCGCACACATCCCAGAGAGTGCCCTAAGAGGTGTTAGGATGCATGAGTCTGGAACTCAGAGAAAAGTCGGGGCTGTGATGCTGGCTTGTGAGTCAACCACATGTAGGAGGCTGAGGCTACCTGGGGTAACATGGAGCCTCAGGGGGTAGGGAAGCCGGGAAGGGAGTCTTACGAAACCCCAGCAATAAAGGGTCAGAACCAAGAGGCTGAGGCTTCCAGAGAGTCTAGAAGGGATGGCAAGAGATGGTGAAGAACCGGAGCTGGCAGGTTTGGGGAGGGTTCTCCAGAACACAGGCTGAGAAGGAACACCTCCAGGAAGGGGCATGGCAACTGTGGCCAGTGCTCCTGATCGCCACTAGACTGGGCGGCATTGCAGTCATCCCTGGCTGTTGCATTTTTCTCGTGTCTCGAAATCCTTTGGGCTCTAACTTCAGAGAAAATCCAGAATCTGTTCATTTTTCACCATGATGCCCCAGGACCCTGTGAGGTGCTGGATTCCCCTAGTACCCAGCCAGTTGTGAGACACTCAGCAATGCAACGCGACCATGGGGGAATGTTTCACCATGAAATGCCTGGACCAGGGCTCTCCCTGCACCCGCTGGGAGAGCTGGTTGACCAGCACTCCACTTCACTGCTGTATCCTCACTTTATTCCAAGTTTCTTTGCTGGTCCACCCGTTCCCACCCTTGTCTCCTATGGCCTAGTCTCATCCTCCAGATGAGAGCATCCTTCCAGATCATGCCACTTCTCCCATAGCACTGACTCTGAACCCCTCACCCACCCTGCCCAAGCGCTACAGCCCACAAGCCTCTCCAGGACCTCACTGTCTCCCCTACCCCAGTTGCTCTCCTTCTCCCTCCCTGGCCCCTTGCTGCCCATGTCCACTTCCAACACACTCTGCCTCGGGGGCTTTGCACTTGCTGTTCCCACTGCCAGGAATGTCCTTCCCCTGATACACACAGAACTCACACTTTCAGGTCTTTGCTGCCCTGACCACCCTATTTAAAAGTGTACACTCCCTCCACCCCTACATTCCTGTTGCATTTTTTTCCTGCAACGCAAATGAGCATCAAGGTCAAGGTAAAACTTACACTTGCTGAGGACTTCACTGGCTTCAGGAGCAGGAGCTGTGTGGATGTGTGAGCCAGGCAAGAAGATGGAGGTGAGAAGGTGGGAGTGAAGGAAGTGATGGAAGACAACTCTTTCGAGAAGGGTGCCAGCTGGGGCCTTCCCTGGCAGTCCAGTGTTTAAGACGCTGCACTTCCAAGGCAGGGGTCCTGGGTTTGAGCCCTGGTCAGAGAACTAAGATCCCACGTGCTACACAGGGCAGCCTAAAAAAATTAATTAATTAAAATCAAATTAAAACAAAAAAGAAAGGTGCCAGCTAAGGGGAAGGGAGAGAGAGAGCAAGAACCGGAGAGCGTCTGCATGTGACTTTTTCCGGGAGATTTAAGTGTGTTGGAGAGCTGCTGAGAGGGACCCAGCTGCAGGGAGAGGCCACTAGAGAGGGAGTGGTCCACGGTGGGGATTAAACCCTGGTGGTTGCCAGAGGGGAGAAGCGGCCTCAGAAACCAGGATCAGGAGGGGAGGAAACAGGAGGGTGGCAGATGGAGGTGGGCGAGGAGGTTTGACCCTGGGAAGAGAAAGGAGCTCCTATTCCTCCTCTTGGGCTTCCCTGGTGTCTCGACAGTAAAAAAAAAAAAAAATCCATCTGCAATGCAGGAGACCGGGGTTTGATCCTGGGTCGGGAAGATCCCCTGGAGAAGGAAATGGCAACCCACTCCAGTATTCTTGCCTGGAGAATCCCCATTGATGGAGGAGCCTGGTGGGCGACAGTCTATGGGGTTGCAAAGAGTCGGACACAACTAAAGTGATTTATCACAGCCCGGCATTCTTCCCCTCGATGCAGGAGTTGAGGTGGTCTGCTGGGAGACCAGTGGTCACAAGCTTAAGAACAAAGGAGAAGGTTTGGGATCATTAGCCACTGGAGAGTGAGTTGAGGAGAATCACCAACGGATGGAACCACCTGCACTGGGTAGGGGTCTTGTTCTAGCAGGGCTGTGCTGCTCAGGGTTTCGAGAGAGCAAGCTGTGGTCACCCATACTGGCATAGCTGGGAAGCTCTAATGATGGGGTGGGGGTGGGGGGCAGAGCTGTGTGGCAGCAGCAAGCACTATGGAAATGTGCCCCTGGCCACACATCATGGGCCGTTGTAGCCAAAGAGCCAAAAGTGTCACTTCCCTCCTACTTGGGCATTTGGATCCCAGTGCCAAGTTGGGGTTTGGGGACAGAGCCTTGTTCAGGGAACTGTCTCTCTCCTGGGAAGAAATTGCCCTGGAGCCGGGAGGAATGATGTCTAACTATGACACTTTACAAGGTGGTGGGGAGACGGGGGGACCCATTAGGCCCACTGCCATGGTCCCTGCAGCGCAGCCAGCTGCCCGAGTGCAAGGTGATCCCCCCGTCCTTTATGGCCTCGGCTCAGTGGGAGTGACACCGGGCCCTGCTTTACGAGCTGCCAGCACGGCTTCTACGAGCCGACCCGCTGTCAATAAGGGCTGTGTTTTATATTACGGGCAGGACGATTTATGGGCCGCCCAGCACTCAGCAGACAGCCATTTGGCCAGGGAAGAAAATGACCTAACACTTCAGATATTTGGAAACCAGAAAACAGGGTGCATGTGTGTGCGCGTGGGGCGGGGGGGGGGGGGGGGCGCGGCGGGGGGCGGGTACGTGGAGCTACGTCTGTCTGCTGACTTACCAGGTATTGGAAAAGAGGAACAGCTTCATGAAAGCTGTTGGCTATAAAAATGAAATGAAATGACACATTTCCCTCTGAATGGGGCCTTTGCATCACACACGGACCACGAGGTTTTGGGGGAGAGAGGCGGGTAACCAGATGGTGGTTGCGTGCATGCTCAGTCATGTCCAACCCTTATGACCCCTTGGACTGTAGGCTCTTCTGTCCATGGGGTCATTCAGGCAAGAATACTGGAGTGGATTACCATTTCCTACTCCAGGGGATCTTCCCGACCCAGGGATGGAACCCACATCTCTTGTGTCTTCTGCATTGGCAGGCAGATTCTTTACCAACTGTGCCACCTGGGAAGCCCCAGCCAGTAGGTGGCTGGTTCCTGCCAAATCCACTGACTTTCAGCATGGCATATGAGAAAGTCTCCATGGGAGCATTTGCCCTATTTTATTGAAATATCTATTCAGACCTGTCTTCCCAAAAGACTGCAAGCTCCTCGAAAGCAGGGCCAAGTCTCATTCGACCTTGCGATCTTTATTTTTTCAGTTGTTTCTGGCCCGGAGCAGGGATTCAGTCAAGGATTGTTGAATTCATGTGTAAGTGGGAATTGTCTACCTGGGCACTGAAGTGATCTGCTAAGAGCCGACATCCCCATTAGACAGTAAGCCTCTGGCCAGCAGGTACCTCGTCTGGGTCAGCTCAGGCCTTGACACATAAGTGAAAGTGAAAGTTGTTCAGTCGTGTCTGACTCTTTAAAATCCCATGGACTATACAGCCCATGGAATTCTCCAGGCCAGAGTACTGGAGTGGGTAGCCTTTCCCTTCTTCAGGGGATCTTCCCAACCCAGGGATCGAACCCAGGTCTCCTGGATTGCAGGAGGATTCTATACCAACTGAGCTGCGAAGGAAGCCCTCATAAGAATGAGGGAATATGAGGGACGCCCTCATGACACATAAGAAGCACCCAGAAATGCTGCTGCCCTGGGATGGGCTGAACAAACCAGGGCACTATGGGTCAGATGACTGTCCATCCACTTAAATGGATTTGCAACTGGTGGAGCCCCATTTCAGACTTTGCTGGGAACACACGTTTGGTGGGTGGCTTTAGGCGGGTGGCTTCGGGGCCGTTCCTTCTTGGTCTCTTGGCTGCCACTTCCTCCTCCCACTGACCTCTGAGTGCTGGAGGGTCCCAGGCTCAGTCTGCATCCCTTCTCTCTGTTTTCTCTCCCCAGCTGTGCTCACACAATGTCAAGACTTTTAACACGGTCTATGTGCTAATGACTCTGAAATGCAGACCTCACTCAGAAACTCTAGGCTGTAATATTTACCTGCTTGTTTGACATTCCCTTGGAGATCTCATAGGCATCATCATTTTAATTAATCCCCAAACTTTCTCCTCCAGGCTTCCTCATTTCAGTAAATGGCACCACCATTCATGAGCTGACTAAGGCAAGACCCCAAGAACCATGTGACATGGTAAAGTTTGTGTGGTTTGACGGACCATGGGGCAGCCAGATATTCGATTAAACGTTATTTGGGTTTATGTGTATGAGGTATCTGCAAGGCTGTTTCTGGATGAGATTGACATTTGAGTTGGTAGATTGGGTAAAGTGTATTGCCCTTCCCAGTGGGATGGGCCTCATCTTATCAACTAAGGGTTTGAATAGAACAAAAGGCAAAAGGGAGAACTGCCTCTCTCTGCCTGTCTTCAAGCGGGGACATTGGTCATTTCCTGCCTTTGGACTTGGATGATAGCTACCCCATCAACTCTCCTGTGTCTTCAGCTTGCTCACCGCAGATCTTATGACTTCTTAGATAGATATAGGTACAGAGACAGAGATGGAGATGGAAACATATAATTTCTCTTTTTTCTTCCACTTAAAATTTTTTTTTGACGTGGACCATTTGTAAAGTCTTTTTTGAATTTGTTACAACACTGCTTCTGCTGTATGTCTTGGTTCTTAGCCCCGAGGCATGTGGGATCCCAGCTCTCTGACCAGGGATCCAAGCCACACTCGCCGCATTGGAAGGCAAGGTCCTAACACTGGAACAGCAGGAAGTCTCTCTCATGTTTATTAATGGAATTCTACTGTAAGAAAGAGTTGTCTCGTCTCTTCAAGTTATGTATTTATTTTGTTTTTATTTATATCGGTATAGAGAGGTGACTGTTTTATTTACTCTTTGGGTTAAAATCAAGCTAATGCCGTCATTTATTTTCTTGCACAAATAATTCTAGTTTTGACCATGTGAGCTGCCCGACACCTGGGGCTGGGCCCGGCTCTTGCATGTGTTGTTTAATTTAACTCTTCACCGCAGACCTCAGAGCGAGCTGTTGTGATGTTCTCCGACAGCTGAGCAAACAGAGGCTCAGAAAGTGCGCCTGTTCACCGAAAGTCACCTGGACAGGTAGTGGACATGTTCTCACATCACAGGTGTCCCCTCGGGGCCTAGGCCCCTGATCCTCCCACTCTTCAGCCACCTCAGTCACCCAGGGGTCCCCAGTCACCTTCAGAGGGTGGTCACTTCCATTTCCAGTCAGAGGACCTGAGGCACAGATTGGTCTTCTGGCCGCCAAGGTCCCGTGGTGCCAGCATGACTGGCGAGGTGTGATGCTCAGGATGCTGGATTCTGAGGGCCTCCACATGACCTGGCATGTCATCTATTCCACACCCTCCTCCACTCAACAAAACAGTTTTCAGTAATAATCTTGTAACAGAAAAATATTAATGACTGGAAAAGAACACTTATTGGGAAATTTCTCTCTTGCTAATATTACAAACACACATACACACACACACAGTGAAGAAAAACTTGAAAGGGAAAGAAATCAAATATTATAATACTTCAAAGGAAAAGCGTCAACAACACCTCTCCTGTCTACCTAACAATCTGAACTCTGATCCCCTAGTTACAGGCTGAGGTAATGGTGTTTTACATAAATAATTATCTTGTAACTAACAAGTGAGATTTAATAAAACAAAGACATCTGCAAAGGGTACAATTTAGGCAATTACTGACTCATACAGTGATGTCATGTTTTATTTTTTTGATTTACTGTTTTTTTCCAAAATAACCAACCAACATTGAAAAATGTAAACTGAGATTTTAAAGAGACCATTCAAAGGGTTCATGTGTGAACTAAAATCTGTGCTTACTGAACAAAAGCATTACACTATTTAACTGCTTTCAATTTCAAATACTAATTATCACAAGTTCTGGAATTTTCTCTTTAATCGTTATAATTGAGCAGCTTATTTCACTGGGAATTGGAAACATTTACAGTGCCTGAAAGAAGCTTGGATGATTCTGAAACTTGTTCTTACCCTTGTGACGTGGGTAGTTCAGTCTGTGTGTGTCAGGGACTAACTGTATAAACCTCAGTTCAGTTCAGTTGCTCAGTCCTATCTGACTCTGTGACATCGTGGACTGCAGCACGCCAGGCTTCTCTGCCCATCACCAACTCCCAGAGCTTGCTCAAACTCATGTCATCGAGCAGGTGATGCCATCCAGCCATCTCATCCTCTGTCGTCCCCTTCTCCTGACTTCAATCCTTCCCAGCATCAGGGTCTTTTCCAAGGAGTCATTCTTTTATATCAAGTGGCCAAAGGTTTGGAATTCAGCTTCAGCATCAGTCCTTCCAATGAATACCCAGGACTGATCTCCTTTAGGATGGACTGGTTGGATCTCCTTGCAGTCCAAGGGACTCTCAAGAGTCTTCTCCAACACCACAGTTCAAAAGCATCGATTCTTTGGCGCTCAGCTTTCTTTATAGTCCAACTCTCACATTCATACATGACTACTGGAAAAACCAAAGCTTTGACTAGACAGACCTTTGTTGGCAAAGTAATGTCTCTGCTTTCTAATAGGCTGTCTAGATTGGTCATAGCCTTTCTTCCAAGGAGAAAGCATCTTTTAATTTCATGGCTGCAATCACCATCTGCAGTGATTTTGGAGCCCAACAAAATAAATTCTCTCACTATTTCCATTGTTTCCCCATCTATTTGTCATGAAGTGATAGGACCAGATGCCATGATCTTTGTTTTTTGAATGTTGGGTTTTAAACCAGCTTTTTCACTCTCTTCTTTCACTTTCATCAAGAGTCTTTTTACTTCTTCCCTTTCTGCCATAAGGGTGGTGTCATCTGCATATCTGAGGTTATTGATATCTCTCCCTGCAGTCTTGATTTCAGCTTGCACTTCATCCAGCCCAGCATTTCTCATGATGTACTTTGCATATAAGTTAAATAAGCAGGGTGACAATATACAGCCTTGACGTACTCTTTTACCAATTTGGAACCAGTCTGTTGTTCCATGTCCAGTTCTAACTGCTGCTTCTTAAACTGCATACTGTATAAAGGGGAGTTCTCATATCTTCCATGCAAAAAACTAAATATAGAGCTACCATATGATCCAGCAGTCCCATTTCTGGGCATATATCTGGAGAAAGCTCTAATTCAAAAAGACACATGTACCCCAGTATTCATAGCAGAACTACTTACAATAGCCAGGACATGGAAGTAGCCTAAGTATCCACTGACAGAAGAATGGATAAAGAAGATGTGCTTCATACATACAATGGAGCCCTACTCAGCTATAGAAAAGAATGAAATAATGCCATTTGCAGCAACATGGATGGGTGTAGAGATGATCATACTAAGTGTAGTAAGTCAGAAAGAGAAAGACAAATATCATATGAAATCATTTATAGGTGGAATCTAAAAAGAAAAAAAAAAGAAATGAGCTTATTTACAAAACAGAAAGAGACTCACAGACATAGAAAACAAACTCATGGTCATCAAAGGGTGCAGGAAATAGGATAAATTAGGAGGCTGGGCTTCCCATACACACTATACTATACATAAAGTAGATTAAAAAAATGAGAGCTTACTGTATAGCACAGGGAACTATCTTCAATATCTTGTAATAAACCACAGGGGGAAAGAATTTGAAAAAGGTTTATGTATAAGTATATAAAACTGAATCACTGTGCTGTACCCCGGAAGCTAACACAGCATAGTGAAACAACTATACTCCATGAAAAACATCATCCTCCATGTAGAAACCAATGTTTATTAAAGGCTAACTTATTCTTGCCTGGAAAATTCCATGGACAGAGGAGTCTGGTGGGCTACCATCCCTGGGGTAGCAAAGAGTTAGACATGCCCGAGCAGTCACACACACAATAAAAATGTGCACATTGTGCTCACAAGTCTATCTTGAAAACTAGCCAGAGCAATTATTTAGAACTTACTTAAAGAAAGATTTTTCCCCAGAGGAAAATCTTATTACCAACATTGTTTAGATGACTGGTACAGGGTGACACTGACAAGCAGAGCAACTCAACCTGTTTTATCATTGTTTTTATACTTTTCATCAACCATGCACCCTCATGCTGTCTGCACCCAAACTGGACCCCTCCCAGCACCCACCCTTGGTCGTGAGGTCCCACTTAACTTCTAGGTATCTTCTGCTAACAGGATAAAATAAAGGCAAGGCCCCCTGGCCTTCTAGAAGCACAGCAAGTCATTTTCAGGACCCGAGAGCCCTCAGCTCAGTCATGTGCCTTCCCTGTTTTTAAGGCCTAGCTCACTTCCTCCTTTCTTCAGACGCTCGCCTGACATGCCCTTCTCTACCAAGTGGGCACGCAAAATCCCCGCCAAGCGGCGCCTGCACGTCAGTCTGGGCTCCACCAGGGTCCGTGCTCAGCCAGCACCGGGCCGCCCCTGGTGTCCCACTCTGCCCCTGCATCCCCAGCACCCATCATGAGGTGGGCAGCGCTGCTGCATGAGAAGGGGCAGCAGGACACCAGTGCTCAGCCTTTCATGAGGGGGCCACAGCCAAGCAGTGGAGAACCACAAAATGGGCAGAGGTCTAGAAGGCTTGGGGCTGCCTTCAGCCTTCTTGGGCACGTAAACCTTGTTACTCAGCGCTCCTCCCCCACCATGTCCAAGCAGGCCGTGCTGGTAGGAGGCGGGGAGGGCTTTGTACTCTCTGCCCCATGACACGCAAAATCCCGCACCCGGCACCGGATGCATGTCTCCTTGCTTCAAACTCACAACAGCCTTCCTGGCCTCATCCCCTGCCCACTCACCAGCCTGCCCCCTACTCTGCAGGCCTCAGCTGTGAGGTCTTGTCCATCTCAAGGACCCCCACTGACTGGCAAGTTCTCCTGCTGTAAATCCCAGGGAAAGTCCTTCCTGAGAGCAGCCCTCCGCCTCAACCCAGGGGTCTCTCCTTGGTCCACCCCGTGGTGTCCTGGCGGCTGCCCTGGCGGGGAGCTAACGTAAGGGTCCTGTCCAACGCAGGGAGGTCCCATAATTATTGTGCCACTCAATCTACAAATTAGGATGCTGTAGAGAGGTTCCAAACTTGCATGAGGGCCCCTGAAGTTGGGCCTGTGGCCCCACCCTGTGGTCCCCACCCCAGGGAAGCCTCTGGAAGGCAGCAGTGTGCTGCTGCCTGGTCTTCTGTGACCCCCAGCCCCAGGTGATGGACGGCCTTCTGCTGAGACTTATGAGCTATTTGAAGCCGTCAACCAGCTTTGTGTAAATATCAACTCTGTTTGGCAAAATAGCTGCAGAGGGATTTTTATTTCTGCTGGGCATGATTATGAGCATTGATTTGAGGATCTGAAACGTCAATAAAACAGATTAAACCTCCCGAAGAATGAACGCAGACCATCAACTTGTGTTGCCAAGGGCATGAAAGCAAGGTGGGTGGGGAGGAGAACTCGGAGCCGCGTCACATCCAGCAGCTCGCAGGCCCCGCCTGCTGCTCAGCCCGGTCCTACCCCAGGCACCCAGGACACGGTGGACACACAGCCCTCCACCTGCAGGACCCCTGGCTTGGCTCTGCTGGAAGCTGACATCATGGGAGTAATTTGGAGATTCTTTTTCTCTTTAACTTTGATTTTTCTTTAGAGGGGTAATTGACATATAACATATTAGTTTCAGGTGTACAACACAATGATTCAATACTTGTAAACACTGCAGAATATCACAATAAATCTAGTTGATATCTGTCATCTTAACATAGCTACAAAAAATTTGTTTCTCTTGGGATGAGAAGTTTTAAGATCTGTTCTGTTAACAACTTTCAAATATACAGTGCAGTATTCATATAATCACCATACTGTGCTGTACATCCCTAGGACATATATAATGTATGACTGGAAGTTTTTATCTTGACTCATTTCTCTGTCCCCCTGACCGTTGCCTCTGACAAGCACCAGTCTACTCTGTAACTGTGAGCTAGGGGTGGTTTTTTGTTTGTTTGCTTGCTTGTTTTAGATTCTACATATAAGTGATATTTATGGTATTTGTGTTTCTCTGACTTATTTCACTTAGCATCCTACCTTCTAGGTCCATCTGTTAGGCAGTTAGAAGTGGAAAAAGGAGTCCAAAATGGTGGTGGCTTAAAGAGAAAGATGGGTTGAGGCCTCACCTTTGGGGTCCGCCTGCCCTCATGCCTCGAGGGTGGACTATACTTTGTCTAATAAAACTCTCCCTTCAGGAGAGTGTGTAATTTCATTGATTCTGTCTCGCCTCAACTCAGATTTTAAACCATGACCAGTGTTTCAGCTCAGTGACAGCTCAGAGTTTCAATTGGTAAACAAAGGATAGTACACCCTTGAGGCCTGAGGGTAGGGGGACCTCAAAGGAGAGGCCTCAACCTGTCTTGGCTCCCTCTTTTTATATGTTCTGTCTCCTCCCCAAGTCTGCCCTATCAAATTAGGGCTAGCCAGGAAGGGGGTGTGTCTGTTTTACCTGAGGTTCTCACTTGGGTCCATGGATTTTTCCTTTGTTCCCTTTTCACAGACTTTTCCCTTTCTTTGTCTTTTAGCCACTGCCATTTTGGACTCCTTTTTCCTGTTCTAACTACCTAACACATCAAGTTCAGTTCAGTTCAGTTGCTCAGTCATGTCCGACTCTTTGCAACTCCATGAACCGTAGCACGCCAGGCCTCCCTGTCCATCACCAACTCCCGGAGCTTACCCAAACTCATGTCCATTGAGTCGGTGATGCCATCCAACCATCTCATCCTCTGCCGCCCCTTCTCCTCCTGCCTTCAATCTTTCCCAGCATCAGGATCTTTTCAAATGAATCAGCTCTTCACATCAGGCAGCCAAAATATTGGAGTTTCAGATTCAACATCAGTCCTTCCATGAACACCCAGGACTGATCTTTAGGATGGACTGGTTGGATCTCCTTGCAGTCCAAGGGACTCTCAAGAGTCTTCTACAACAACACAGTTCAAAAGCATCAATTCTTCTGTGCTCAGCTTTCTTTATAGTTCAACTCTCACATCCATACATGACTACTGGAAAAACCATAGCCTTGACTAGACGGACCTCTGTTGACAAAGTAATGTCTCTGCTTTTTAATATGCTGTCTAGGTTGGTCATAACTTTCCTTCCAAGGAGTAAGCATCTTTTAATTTCACGGCTGCAATCACCATCTGCAGTGATTTTGGAACCGAAAAAAATAAATTCAGCCACTGTTTACACTGTTTCCACATCTATTTGCAAATGAAGTGATGGGACCGGATGCCATGATCCTAGTTTTCTGAATATTGAGCTTTAAGCCAACTTTTTCACTCTCCTCTTTCACTTTCATCAGAGACTGTTTAGTTCCTCTTCACTTTCTGCCATAAGAAAAGGTGTCATAAGGGTGCTGTCATCTGCATATCTGAGGTTATTGATATTTCTCCCGGCAATCTTGATTCCAGCTTGTGCTTCATCCAGCCCAGCGTTTCATATGATGTACTCTGCATATAAGTTAAATAAGCAGGGTGACAATATACAGCCTTGACGTACTCCTTTTCCTATTTGGAACCAGTCTGTTGTTTCATGTCCAGTTCTAACTGTTGCTTTCTGACCTGCATATCGGTTTCTCAAGAGGCAGGTCAGGTGGTCTGGTATTCCCATCTCTTTCAGAATTTTCCACAGTTTATTGTGATCCACACAGTCAAAGGCTTTGGCATAGTCAATAAAGCAGAAATAGATGTTTTTATGGAACTCTCTTGCTTTTTCGATGATCCAGCGAATGTTGGCAATGTGATCTCTGGTTCCTCTGCCTTCTAAAACCAGCTTGAACATCTGGAAGTTAACGGTTCACGTATTGCTGAAGCCTGGCTTGGAGAATGTTGAGCATCACTTTACTAGCGCGTGAGATGAGGGCAGCTGTGCGGTGAGTGTATGAACCTAGCAGAAGCAGAAGATACTGAGAAGAGCGGGCAAGAGCACAGAAGCCACAGAAAAGATCCTCACGCCCCAGATAGTCACGATGGTGTGGTCACTCGCCTAGAGCCAGACATCCTGGAGTGCGAAGTCAAGAGCCAGACATCCTGGAATGTGAAGTCAAGAGCCAGACATCCTGGAATGTGAAGTCAAGAGCCAGACATCCTGGAATGTGAAGTCAAGAGCCAGACATCCTGGAATGTGAAGTCACGCAGGCCTTAGGAAGCATCACCATGAACAAAGCTAGAGGAGGTGATGGGATGCCAGCTGAGCTATGTCAAATCCTGGAGGATGATGCTGTGAACGTGCTGCACTCAGTGTGCCAGCACATTTGGAGAACTCAGCAGTGGCCACAGGACTGGAAAAGGTCCGTTTTCATTCCAATCCCAAAGAAAGGCAATGTCAAAGAATGCTCAAACTACCTAATACATCAATGTTGTGGCAAATGCCAAGATTTATTATTTTTTATGGCCAAGTAATATTCCACTATATATATATATGTATATATATATGTATATGTATGTATATATATATATATATATATGTATACACACCATATCTTCTTTACCTATTCACCCATCAGTGGAGACAGGTTCTTTCTACTACTACTAAGTTGCTTCAGTCTTGTCTGACTCTTTTCAACCCCATGGACAGAGGAGCCTAGTGGGCTATGTAAGCCAGACTGTAACTCACCAGGCTGCTCTGTCCATGGAATTCTCTAGGCAAGAATACTGGAGTGAGTTGTCTTGCCCTCCTCCACAGGATCTTCCCAAACCAAGGATCAAACCCGTGTTTCTGGTGTCTCCTGCACTGGGAACTAGATTCTTTACCACTAGCAACACCTGGCCCTTGTTTATTTTTACTTTTGTTCCTTTTGTTTTGGAGTCAGATTCAAAACATCATCACCAAGATCTATGTGAAGGAAATTAGCACCCAAATCTTCTTCTACTTTTATGGTTTCAGGTCTTTTGTCCAAGTCTTTAATCCATGGAGCTCTTGATTAAGAGTCCAAAGAAATTCAACAAACTACGGTTAACCCTGAATGAAGCCTGGTGTAGAGATAAAAACACACAAACCAAAACCAAAACAAAACAAACAGCTATAAAGAACAATCTTGAGGTAATCAGTGAAATCTGAATATGGACCTGATCTTAGAAGATTTTAGGGAATTATTAAATATTTAGGTGTGATAATGGTTTTGCAGAAAAATGTCTTTATTCTTAGGAGACACACACTGAAGTATTTAAATAAGAAATGTCATGATGTCTTACTTTGAACTTACTTTGTCTATAATTTTCTTTTCCTTTCATGCCTTTGTTGGGTTTTATAACAAGATTATTCAGGCTCCCTAAAATGAGCTGGAAAGTTTTTTCCTGTTCCTCTATTTTCTGAAACAGTTTATGTAAAATAAATATTATTTCTTTTTAACTGTTTGATAGAATTCACCAGTGAAAACATCTTGACTTGGGGTTTTCTTTGATAGATATAAGGCTGTTCAGATATCCTATTTATTAATAGGTCACTTTTAG